AAAAAAAGTATACAGAGGAAACAATTTCTAATGCAATTTGACGGTTAAAAAACATACTATTAGTAGTTTATTTTTTTTCCAAATCCCGTAGTAAAAATCTCAAAAATATAAAAATTAGAAAAAAAAAATCAAACTTTGAGCATTAGGGGGACGTTTGGTTTATAGGTTCAAAATTATGATTTATGATTCTGATTTTTAAAATTTAAATTTTTTATAAGAGAAAAACACTGTAGAGAATCAAGAACTATGATTCAGAACCAAAGATGAACCCTTAAAACAAACATCCCATTAGTGTTTGCCCCATTATTTAAGAGGAAAAAAATACCTTGCCCTCTTAAATTCTCAATCAACGAGGGAATCATTGATGACAGAAAGATACTTCTTGTCTGGCTCCCTTATAATCCACCATTGTTGGAGCAATAATATTGAGGTCTTTGGCCCTATTATGACGTCCTTTTTTTCTTTGTACCTTCTGTTTCGGCTTTCTTTATTGTAAGAAATATATATATATATATATATGGTTTCTAATGAAATGCTGGAAATTTCAATTGAATAAATGTTGTCCTAGATTCTCCTTACGTATGAGAAGATTCATTTTATACTCGGGTCTCTTTTTGAACCACCATAAATGCATCCTCTATAGCTTGAATGAAAGTAGCTATCTTGTATGTGAAAAATCCCACCAACATTGGTATCAATTCCAAGTGCATGAAACCATATTCTGGAACAAGAATTCTACAATATCAAAACACAACATTGTTAGTTAAGCAATGAAAGGAGAATAGCTGCAGATTTTTTGTTATTTTCAAGAAACCTTACTGGAACAATTTATCAATATTGTTAATAATCCAATGTGCCAACAAAAGCACGAAAACAAACCAAAAAATACTGAAATAATGCTATAGGTACCGGTGGTATTGAGCACCACTCATTAATAAAAAGTGGATCCCTCAGTGTGGAGTCTACTTTCTATTAGTGGTGGTGCTTAGCACCGGTGGTGGCCCTACATATTTTGAAAAATACTCACCCGTTCCACCGGTTATAGAGCATGACTAGTACAAAAGGAACCAACATTCTTGGCTGCCCGATTGCTCCCCTGCATTAAACTTCCGGTGAGTAAAATAACTGAATATACTCTCTAATATTTAAACAACAATGTGGAATATTTAACTATCTAGTATCTAACATGCTCAATTGTGGTTATAGAGTAGTTTATCCTTGGTTGCGAAGCACGCTAAAAAATAACAATGTTGTACTTGGAGATATATAGAAGAAACCAAGTAGAATGGGATAGACATTAAAATCCCTACATGAAATAAATATAAGATGATTAGTGGGTTTGTACACGTCATTAATTCCTTAGCTAGACCGCGTGCTTAGCACGCCTCACATAAGTGAACCTCACTGGAGGCATCGAAATGTTATTGGTGACTAAAGCTGAAAAATCATGTTTGAGGCTTCCATCTGTAAACCCCATGACCATTGGAGCAGACGACATAATGAAATTCTCACGAAATTTTCTCACAAATATGTTATTTAGAGGAATAACATGTTGCCATATTCTACTACATAAAGAATTTTTCACATACAGTTGTGAAAAAAGAGTATAATTCTTTAGGATCTCCCATCCAAATTATATATCCTTTTGCTTTATATTTATCCTTATATATTGGCAGACGAACTCAATACTCACTAGAACTTATAATAAATTAATCAGGGATATGCAATTTCAGCAGTTGGATACAAACGCCATGCATCCAGTTGAGTAAGAGCTAAAAACTTAAAAATCAGAAAGCTGTATACATACTTGACGAGTCCCTTTGCTCCATCTGCCATCGAATCAACAGTATTTCCAAGCATACGCATATATACCAAAGAACCAACCAATCCAGCACCATAGCTGAAATACATAAAATAGAGATGCGCATCAAAGACAGGGAGAGAAAATAACTTCTATCCAACATCATCCAATAACCTGAGATCTAAACTCCAGTAGTGACCTTGCCCTATAGCTAACATGAGCGGTGAGCCAATTATTATTGTAAATCTACAACGTGAATTATCACAACTTATTCCATACAAATAGTCAAAGCACAAAAAGACTAGGCATTTTTTTTTTTTTTTTTTTTTTTTTGAGAAGACTAGGCAGCTAACTCTGCCTATGCGTTTATATAGCCGCTCCTAAGCCCGGGTAAAGGAGGAGGGTTGCGGTAGGTTGACGGCCAACGTAAAAATAAGTCACTCTTATAGATTTCACTCACATAGAATCTGTTGAGGCGTTCCCTACGTGCGACGCGCTATGCCGGGCCCCGGGTATAGTGTTAAATAGGCAAAGGGATCTTCGCACATTCATGGACGTGTGCGGGGGAAAAAGCGAGCCCATGCGCCATGTGGGGCCCCGGATATGGTGAAACATATGCAAGGGGGGTCCTTGCACATTCATGGACGTGTGCAAGGGGCAGAGCTAGCCCATGATAGGAAAATTTGTTTAGGTAGTTGGAATGTAGGTTCTTTAACTGGTAGTTCTATAGAGTTAGTAGATGTTATGGTAAGAAGAAGAATTAACATTTTATGCTTACAGGAAACGAAGTAGACATGAGAGAAAGCAAAGGAGATTGGAAATTTATGACACAAGTTATGGTATACAGGTTTGGCAAGGAATCGCAATGGAGTTGGTATTTTAGTGGACAAAACTGTGAAGGATGACGTAGTTGAGATTAAGCGAATAGGGGATAGAATTATTATGCTCAAATTGGTACTAGAAAATAAGTTCATCTATGTAATTAGTGCTTACGCTCCACAAATAGGATTGGATGCGAAAATTAAAGTCAAATTCTGGGAAGACATGGATGACCTAGTGTGTCGTATAGGCAATGAGGATAGCATTTTCATTGGAGGAGATTTCAATGGCCATGTTGGTAAGGAAAGGGAAAACTTCGAAAGGATTCACGGTGGTTTTGGTTTTGGAGCTCGAAACGAAGAAGGAAAATATATTTTAGAATTTGCCTTTGGGATATGATTTTATCATAACAAACACATTTTTCAAGAAAAGAGATTCTCAGTTGATCACTTTTAAGAATGGGAGGAACTTGAGCCAGATAGATTATTTTCTCATAACGTATAGAGAACGTTCTCTATGTAAGAATTGTAAAGTAATTCCTGGAGAAGTACTAGCCACCCAACATAGGTTAGTGATCTTAGATGTGAGCATTAAGCTTTGCTATAGAAGAACTAAGATAAAGCACCTCCCACAAACTCGTTGGTAGCATTTGAAGGGAATAAAGCAATTGACCTTTAAAGAGAAGTTGTTAGATGAGGCTACTTGGTCATATATAGGTGATGCAAATACTATGTGGGATGCCATGGCCAGCTGCATTAGAAAAGTGGCAAAGGAGGTACTAGGGGAATCTAGAGGTAAAGGCCCCCCCGGGAAAGAAACCTGGTGGTGGAGTGAGGAAGTTCAAAAGGCTATTAGGATCAAGGGAGATTTATATAGAGATTTACCAAAGCGTAAGGATGTTGAAACTTTTTATAAGTACAAAGAAGTGAAGAAAGAAGTTAAGAGAGCAGTTGGTAAGGCTTGTTCTACTTACTTAGATGAGGTATATAGTAAACTTGGGACTAGAAAAGGAGAGAATGATATATATAAACTAGCTAGGATAAAAGAAAGGAAGTGTCATGACCTAAATCAAGTGAGGTGTGTTAAGCAGGATACGGATCAGATTCTGACAAAAGATAAAGACATTAAGGAAAGGTGGAGGAGTTACTTTGAGAAACTTTATAATGATGATCATGCGATAGAGTTTGACAATCTTAGGTCACAAGGAGAACCTAATGTGATGTATACAAGAGGAATCAGAGTCTCGGAAGTTTAAACTGCACTACAGAAGATGAAAAAGGGGAAGGTATGTGAGCCAAATGATATTCCAATAGAGGTTTGGATGGCGTTAAGAGATGCTGAAATTGTGTGGCTCACTAAGCTTTTTAATGAGATACTAAAGAAGAAGCATATGCCTGATGCATGGAGGACATATGCCTGATGCATGGAGGAAAAGTATTCTTGTCCTCATCTTCAAGAATAAAGAAGATGTGTTGAATTGTAACAATTATAGGGGCATAAAGTTAATAAGCCATACTATAAAACTTTGTAAGAGAGTTATCGAAAGGAGATTAAGGGCCACAACTACCATCTCAGGTAACCAATTTGGCTTCCTGCCAAGCAGATCAACCACAGAAGCCATTTTTCTTCTTAAGATGCTGATGGAAATGTACAGAGAAGCAAAGACGGACCTACATATGGTTTTTATAAATTTAGAAAAGGCATATGATAAGGTGCCGAGGGAAGTTTTATGGTGGGTAAGAGAGGAGTGCATGTGAGGTATATCAAGGTAATTGAGGACATGTACGATGGGGTGGTCATGAGTGTGAGAACTGCTGGAGGCTACATCAAGGATCTGCTCTTAGTCCTTATCTTTTCACCATCGTGATGGATGAGCTGACAAGAGAAATCCAAGATAGAGTTCCTTGGTGTATGCTTTTTGCAGACGATATAATTTTAATTGATGAATATAGGGAAGGAGTTAACAGTAACTTAGAACTGTGGAGACACCCTCGAGATGAAGAGATTTAAGTTAAGTATGACGAAAACTAAATACATGCATTATAGGTTTAGTAACTCAAGTAATTAGAGTGATAGAATTTCTTTAGATGGTGTGGAGATTAGGGCTTCTAGGAAGTTTAGATACCTTGGGTCTATAGTGCAGTACGAAGGAGACATAGAAGAGGATATTCAACATAAGATTAAGGCAGGATGGGTTAAGTGGAAGAATGCTACGAGAGTTTTATGTGATGGTAAGATGCCTATTAAGTTGAAAGGAAAGTTCTATAGGACTGTGTTAGGAACGTTCGATTTGGTAATGTGTACTCCAGGAGGCCCAAGAAAGGCCCAAATACCTAAGCTACAGGTGGCATTTGATGACTGGTCACATGGGAAATTCTGTTAGTGGCCTAACCGAATCATGAATAAAAGGGCTAGATGCTAGGAGTGAGGCAGGAAATTAGTGAGTGGAGGTAGTAGCGCCTCGAAGCTGTGGGATTTGTAATTTCTTTTACTTCCATAGTTAATACCAGTAGAGGGCTCTGAGATATTCTCAGCTCTCCTTTTTCTCAATTAATCTCTTGTGTTTGGCTAGCCTTGGCGTGTGTTAGCTGCTAGGAATTGTCCATTGCAAGTCGGTACTCATCAACTTAGTATCAGAGCAATCGATACCTGGGTATGGGAAACACGAGAATGGAGGGAAGGCTTGATATCGTAGAGAAAAACCTGAGCGCCATTGAAGAGGGAATGACGAACTACCCAACAGACATGGCAGCCATGCAAGAAATGATGCTCAAGATGCAGACCGGGTTCTCGCAGTTGCAGGACATCGTTGTTGCGAAACTGACAATGGAGAAAGGGAAGTTGCAGGCAGATTCGTCCTCATCCCCAGGAGAGATCGGAGGAAGTTCCACAGTGGATCGCGAGGGAGGCGTGAGAGCTCATCAATCACCAAAAACTATGACAGGAGCAAGGGTTGCAAGCCCTCGGAAACTAGAACTGCCGTTTTTCACAGGAGACGAGCCACATGCGTGGTTCTTTAAGGCGGAGCAATTCTTCTACGTCAACAGTACGCCGGAGGGAGAGAAGTTAGCTGCTGCCGCCATGCACCTCGATGGAGCAGCACTGGAATTTTTTCAGTGGCTGGGGGCGCGTGCTCCGATAAGCACTTGGGCCGAGTTGAAATCCACCATGCTTCGGCGTTTTCATCCGTCCATGGCAGACAACCAATACAAGGGACTCATGAGCATCAAGCAGACGGGGACTGTGGGAGAATACCGCGGCCACTTTGAGAGGCTGTCGGCACCGCTACTGGAGGCGTCCGACGAGTTCATGAGAGGAGCTTTCCTCCATGGGCTGAAAACGGAAGTTCGGGCCGAATTACGGTTGGCCCACACACCAACCTTGCTGGACCTGATGGAAGTGGCCCAGAGAATTGAGGAGAAGAACTGGGAATTGGGCTGGGCTTAGGAACATAAATCTAGAGGAGGAAAGACGTGGAATACTCAGAAAAGTCATGGGTCGGTGGAGGTTGTCACGTGACCCACGCAGACCCTAGAACCAACACGTGTTCCCTCTAACCCTAAAGTGGCAGTGAACGAGGGAGTGAAACCACTGCCGTTCCACAACTCCCCCTCCTCTCCTTCTTCGAACCACACCACTCAGACACCCTTCCCATGCCGAAAAGACCCTTTCCACCGCTGTTTGTCAAAAGCCAAAGCCCAAGAGAGGAGAAAGAAGGGTCTCTGTTTCCGCTGCGATGAGAAGTTTCACCCCAGCCATCGGTGTGCGAATAAACACCTCAACGTGATGATCATTGCTGAGACCGAGGAAGAAGAAGAGGAACCTCTGGCTGAGAACGCAGCAAGGGAGGACGAAAGTATTGAGAATGCTCGAATGGAGCTTTCCTTAAGCTCACTGGTGGGGATAACCAGCAACCAAACCTTGAAGTTAAAAGGGAACGTACAGGGGCGAGAAGTTATGGTCCTTATTGATGGAGGAGCCTCGCACAATTTTATCTCGTAGCAGTTAGTGGAGGAGCTCGGTTTTACCAGTAACTCCCACGAAGCTGTTCCAAGTTAAGATGGGGGATGGAGTGCGACAAGGAGGAAGCGGGATCTGCCAAAACCTTCCATTGGAAATACAAGGGGTTTGTACCACCTAAGATTTTTTCCCTGTTCCCTTAGGCGTGCCGGAGGTGATTCTAGGCGTGGCTTGGATGAAACCACTAGGGGATGTTTGTTTTAACTGGCAGCAGCTCACAATAAAGTGTTCCATTGGGGGCCAACTGGTCACCTTCCACGGCAATCCAGCATACACCAAACAACAGGCCCCTTTAAAGGCTATTATGAAGATGTTACTGCAAGCTGAACAATGAGCACTTGTGGAACTGCAAGCAATCCAACCAGAGAACCCTAGTCCCCCTTCCTCAGTGCCGGCAGGTTTATAGAGTCTCATCCATGAATTTGACACCCTTTTTCTAGCTCCAACGGACCTGCCCCCTCCAAGGGACCAGGACCACTGCATTCCTTTATTCAGTAACGCGTCACCCCCGAACATTCGGCCCTACAGGTACCCCTACTCGCAGAAAACGGAGATTGAAAAGCTTGTGGCCGAAATGTTACAAGCAGGCATTATCCAGCCCAGCAACAGCCCCTTTTCGAGCCCTGTCCTGCTCGTTAAGAAAGATGGGAGGATGGCGATTTTGCGTGGACTATCGTGCACTAAACAAAATCACCATCAAAGACAAATTCCCTATTCCAGCGGTGGATGAACTCCTTGACGAGTTAGGAGGCAGTAGGATCTTCTCTAAACTCGACCTCAAATCGGGTTACCATCAGATCCGAGTAGTGGAGACTGACCAAGCCAAGACAACATTCCGAACTCACGATGGCCACTACGAGTTCAAGGTAATGCCCTTCGGTTTATGTAATGCCCCATCCACTTTCCAGAGCCTTATGAATGATATTTTTCGTCCACATTTGTGAAAATTCATATTAGTGTTTTTCGACGACATCTTAGTCTATAGTCCTGACCTCCCATCCCACATGAGACACCTGCGGACTACCTTTGAACTTTTAGCAGCAAACCATTTGGTTTTAAACGGAAAAAAGTGCAAGTTTGGGCAGACTAGCATCGATTACTTGGGCCATATCATCTCGGGCGAGGGAGTAGCTGCTGACCCCAGTAAGATTGTTCATGTCGCGGACTGGCCAGTACCTCTGAACATCAAGGAGCTTCGGGGGTTCCTTGGCTTGACCGGCTATTACCGCCGGTTTGTCAAAGGTTATGGCGCGCTGGCTGCCCCCACTGACTCAGCTGCTTAAAAAGGAGTCTTTTGGGTGGCACTCCGCAGCACAAGCGGCCTTTGAGGGTCTAAAAACGGCCATGACCACCCTACCCGTATTAATCCTCCCGGATTTTAGCACTCCTTTCGAGCTTGAAACGGATGCATCGGGCTTTGGTGTTGGAGCAGTCCTCATGCAAGGGGGCCGGCCAGTGGCATTCTGGAGCCAAGCTTTGTCAAAAAGGGCCCAAGCTCGTTCAGTTTATGAAAGAGAACTTATGGCTATTGTTTTGCCAGTAACAAAGTGGCGCCACTACCTTCTCAGAAGACACTTTATCATCAAAACCGACCAAAAAAGCTTAAAATATCTTCTGGAGCAACGGCTTATTGAAGGGGAACACCTGAAATGGGTGTCAAAATTGATGGGCTTTGATTTCAAAATCCGGTACAAGACAGGTACTTCTAACCGAGTGGCTGATGCACTATCACGAAAGGCCAATCTTCATGAGTTGGCCGCCATCTCTATTGTTTCCTTTGCATGACGGGAGGAGCTAGAGCGTGAGGTGCAGGAGGATGCCAACCTCCGCCATATTATTCAGGATCTTCTCGTTGACCCACACAGCCATCCAGATTACCAAGTGAGTAGGGGATATCTGACTCATCGGGGACGCTTGGTACTTCCCAAAACATCGTCCAAAATTCCCCTATTGTTGGCTGAATTTCACTCAACTCCGTCAGGGGGTCACTCCGGGTTCTTTTGCACCTACAAACGAATTTCCCAGGTGCTCTATTAGGATGGCATCAAAAGAGAAGTCCAAGGGTATGTCGCTGCCTGCAATGTGTGCCAACGCAACAAGTACTCTTCCCTTACCCCCGCCGGGCTCTTACAACCGCTTCCCATCCCTCAACAGGTTTGGGAGGACATCTCTATTGACTTCATTGGAGGGCTGCCCAAAACTCATGGAGTGGATACGATCCTGGTTGTCGTTGACCGGTTATCCAAGTACAACCATTTTCTTTCCTTGTGCCACCCCTACACGGCTAGAGAAGTAGCCACTCTGTTTATTCGTGAGGTGGTCCGTCTGCACGGGTTTCCAAGGTCAATTGTTTCCGATCGTGACCGCGTGTTCATTAGCCAATTTTTGTCCGAACTATTCAAGCAAGCTGGGACACAGCTAAAACTTAGCTCCGCGTACCACCCTCAAACGGATGGGCAAACGGAGGTGGTTAACAGGTGTTTGGAGACCTTACAGTGTTTCATTGCAGGCAAACCAGGGACGTGGCCTAAGTGGGTGATGTGGGCTGAATATTGGTTCAATGCCACTTTCCAGTCTTCGGCGGGAATGACACCCTTTTGCGCTCTGTATGGCCACGACCCCCCAACTCTCTTGAAGTTTACGGATGATCCTTCCCCTGTGGAGGACGTGAATCAGCAACTAAGGGAACGCAATTCCATCCTTCAGGAACTCAAGGAGAATCTTCTCAAGGCCCAAGATCGCATGAAGAAGCAAGCCGACCAGCGAAGGCGTGATGTCACTTTTCAGGAGAGGGTGAGTTGGTCTACCTAAAATTGCAACTCTACCGACTACGCTCGCTGGTCCGTAGGCCGAATGAAAAGCTCAGCCCCCGTTTCTACGGTCCATTCCGCGTGCGGGAGCGAGTGGGAGCAGTTGCCTACAAGCTGGATCTTCCGCCCACTGCAAAGATCCACCCTGTTTTCCACATTTCTTAGCTCCACAAGGCCATCCGACCAGAAGCACCTGTTAGTGATTTTCCTACTTTTCTTGGCGCCTATGGTGAGCTTCAAGTGCAACCCGAAGAAGTCATACCCAGTCGCAAGCTGCTCAATGGCGACCACGAAGTCCTCATTAAGTGGCAGGGTCTGCCTTCGTTTGAAAACACATGGGAGTCAGCCGCCGCCATGTCTGCTCAATTTCCGACATTCAACCTTGGGGACAAGGTGCATGTCATAGAGGGGGGAAGTGTTAGGAACGTTCGATTTGGTAATGTGTACTCCAGGAGGCCCAAATACCTAAGCTACAGGTGGCATTTGATGATTGGTCACATGGGAAATTCTGTTAGTGGCCTAACCGAATCATGAATAAAAGGGCTAGATGCTAGGAGTGAGGCAGGAAATTAGTGAGTGGAGGTAGCAGCGCCTCGAAGCTGTGGGATTTTTAATTTCTTTTACTTCCATAGTTAATACCAGTAAAGGGCTCTGAGATATTCTCAGCTCTCCTTTTTCTCAATTAATCTCTTGTGTTTGGCTAGCCTTGGCGTGTGTTAGCTGCTAGGAATTGTCCATTGCAGGTAGGTACTCATCAGACTGTATTCCGCCCAGCTATGTTATATGGTAGTGAATGTTGGGCCATTAAGAGCCAACATATATCTAAGATGAGTGTAGCACCAATAGAAGATAAGGTGCGTGAAGGCCGCTTGAGGTGATACGGACATGTCCAACGTAGACCGCTAGAAGTACCAGTTCGTGCTTGGGAGGACATTCTTATACCTAATACTAGGAGAGGGAGGGGTAGACTAAGAATTACGTGGACCGAAATAGTTAGGAAAGACATTCCAGATCTAGGCCTTTAGGAAAGTTTAATTTCGAACAGAACTGTGTGAAAAAGTGATATCCATATAGCCGACCCCAATTAAGTTGGGATTAAGGCTTGTTGTTGTTGTTGTTGAGAAGACTAGGCAGCTCTTTAGTATTGTAGAATTTTGTGAATTGAACTATCATTTACCACCAATTATCTTTATGGTGAGAGCATAAAAATACGTTTGACTGTTTAAGCACCAGCATAAAGAGATTGAACTTTTAAGTTCTATTGTCACTTAGAATGCAGAAAACTTCAAAGAACCAACAACTAGAATTAGCAGAAATATAGTAACAAAAGTTTATGCGCTATATGGACAAGTGCCCAGTCATAAAAGCAAACTGTCGATAGCATAACAAGTTCTGAACTACTTTGCTTTTTCAACTAATGCTCGAAATGTTCATTACCTAGCTGCAATTTCAGGAGAATAGGAAACATAAGCTGAGGCTAAACCAACACCACCTATGCCAAGGGTGAGGATTTGTAACTTATTTTTTAACTGCAAAAGCAAGATTAGGAGGAAAATTAAAAAAAAACATTCAACTCTAGATGCACAAGAGGGATACAAATATCGGTGGAGGCGAGATAATTTAATAGTAATTCTAGATGCCGGAATTAATTACTTTGAAATACTGTTCCCTTGATTGAGCAGCCAAAACTTCAGGGTCCCCTCGAGGACGCCTTATTTCTCGAAACATCACGTCCTACAAGATTACAACAACATAAAAAGTACGAATTAAGCAAGCATCCTTCTCACTAATACTATTTAGTAAAGATCATCCATAAGAACAAAACTATTTTTTGGATGCCAATGAGACAAGAACAGGCATCAAAGGGACTCTCTTAAAACACTGAGGCAACAAATGACTCACACTGCCTCCAGTCGCAGCCTTAGTTGCTCTTTCCCACTTCTCTTGCTCTCGCCGTGTTGGTGCCGGTTTCCATCTGGTCGCTGTGCTTCCCTCGGACTGATAATCAATTAAATTTCCAGACATTAAGATAAAATGTGCATAGTTTATTTCAACAGAAAAGTTCAATTATTTTAACGGAGGATTTATGCAGGTACTGTACCTGAGCTGTAGGCTCAACTTGCAAATCTAATTCACGTTTGATAGGAGTTGTAAGTTCTTTGCTCAAATCAACCTCCATACTGTCCATGATTTAGACAAGTTAAGACTTAAAGATACTAAGAATAAAAATAAAAAGTAAACAAATAACAATTGAAACTGCTGTTCTTAACAAACCTGTCAAGTGACATGACTCTATTCAAGCTTAAAAACCCAGATGGCTCTTCCTGCATATATCATTAAAAACACCAAAAATTCAATCATCAAAACACATCTCATCCCAACATTAAGCAGGAAAAAAAAACCACATAAACAAGTAAAACTGCAAAAATCCATTCTTGTTCAACCACGGAAACATTTCTTAGCAGCATCAATTCAAATTGCCATCAAATGAACAGGAAAACAGGAAACAAAACGAAAAACAAAAGGAAACCCAGCTGAGTAAACAGGAAAATAAAAACCTTCCAAAAATTCAATCAACAGAACACTATCTTATCCCACGAAAAGAAAACACACACATAAATGAGCAAAATGCAAAAACACACTCGTGTTCAACCACTGAAACATTTCTCATCAGCCTCAAAGTGCCATCAAATGAACGAAAAAAGAGGCAACAAAAAGAAAAACAAAAGGAAACACAGATGAGAGAACTGGCAAATGGAAACCTTAACGGGAGCTGTTTGAGCGGAAGCATCGGAATCAGAGTCCTGAATCAATCTTTTCATGCGACCCATAAAGTCTTTGTTCCATATAAACTCGTCGGAGGTCAATGGGTCCTCTTCTTCGCCTCCCCAATACTTTCGGAGCTTCGTCGTTGTCGGTGGACCGCCATAATCCCCCGGAGCCACCCCGGTGGACCATTTCATTTGCTTCTTCTTCGGCAAAATGATTTTGGTTAGTCGTGGGTCGGGCGCCGATGGGGTTACGGAGGAGTCCTGAGAAATGGGCGTGGCTGAGGAGGTCACTGTGATGAAGTAATTCAGAACCGTCATTGTTGAGGACAATGGCGATGATGATGATGATTATGGGCTTGATATTTCTGGTATGTTTTTAGTTTACTGTTGAATTGTGAGTTGATGATTGTGTTGTCTGTGGGTTCGTTTTCTATATATCTGCTTCATTCTGATTCACAAAAAAAAGAAAGAAAAAAGAAAGGAAAAAAAAAACCAATCTATTCGTAGTGGAGAACCCGTTTTGTTTGTTTCCTTCCTCATTCCTGATAGTTTACCCGCGGGTTACGTTAGAGTTGCTGGAAAATGAAAAGGAGTGCAAAAAAAATGGCGTGAAATAACGTGAGCGTTTGGAATTAATTTTTACTTTTTTAAAACATTTTTTAAGATATAAAAATAAAAATATTTTGTAAATCGTATTTATTTAATAAATATTTTAAAAATAAAAACGAAAATAAAAAAAAATGAAAATAATTTTTGTTAAAGAATTAAAAAACAGTTAAAAGTTAAAAGTCATTTTTTTTTTAGCACTTATCAATAATGTTATAATGTATTAATTAATAATTATAAATGAATACGATTTTATTTTTTTTATTATACTCAAAATAATCTCTCAAAAAACTAACCAAATACAATTTCAGATTCGGCCCAGAATGATTCTCAAAACAATCTTATTTTTACTTTTGTATTGAAAGCAAAATCATTTTGAAAACGTTAAGAAAACCATATTTATGTTCGTTACAATCTTTACAAGGCGACACTATTGATGATTTTGCTTTGTGTAAATATTGTTTCACTGAGCAGAATCGGCTCAGTGTAAATATTGTTTCTCTAAATTACAATGTGACACTATTCACGGCACCACACACTTGAGACGACACTCTGAAAAGTGTCTTCAAAAGCTTAGCCAATCTAGCGGACCCGAACTCCGCCAAACACAATTATCTTTTGATCGCGCAACCGGTGGTCTAACCACTTGGAAATACGATCCGCAAGTAGATCGTATGGAAATTGCGCGAATGATAGCTGCTTTAGATCAACCACTTAGTTTTGTAGAGCATCCTAATTGGCAACGATATATTAAGGTTGTACACAATCCTAATGCACAGTTCACTTCAAAAACTACTCTTAGAAAAGATTTATTAAAATTATTTAAAAATGAAAAAGATGCATTAATAAATTTGCACTCGACTAGCGGGTGCGTTGCGTTAACGGCAGATATTTGGTCTGCCGTTGCCAATAAAGATTATTTAGCTGTAACCGGACATTACTTTAAAGGATTTGATTTAGATAAGAGAATATTAGGTTTTAAATGTGTTCTAGGATCACATAGCGCAGATTTAATATATAACACAATTTTAAATGTAATTGATGAATTTAGATTAAGAGATAAAGTAATGGCTATAACATTAGATAATGCTAGTGCCAATACAAAAGCAATTGAATTCTTTGAAAATGATTTAAGTCTATTCGGTGACGGTACTATTTTCTACCAACGTTGTGCATGTCATGTAATCAATTTAATAGTTAAATCCGGTTTAAAAGAAATGGGTAATCACATTAAAAGAATTAGAGATAGTCTTGCATGGATTCAATGTAGTAACCAAAGACAAGAAGATTGGTTTAGGTTCTTACAAGCATTAAATATACCTCCTAAAGCATTAGCGTTAGATATGCCTATAAGATGGAACTCAACTTATATTATGCTTCAACAATGCATCCCTTATAAGGATGCTATAACAAACTATATGTGTGTAAAATTAGGAGTAGGACATATAGATGAATTTGATTGGCAAAATACCGAAGTTTTATATCAATTTTTAGGTATATTTCATGAAGTTACTCTAAAACTTAGTGGAACATACTACCCAACATCACCTTTAGCTTTAGGAGAACTTTTAAGAATTAGTATTTTATTTCACGACTATAGGGAGGACCCAATCTTAGGAGTTCCTATTCAGTCTATGGAAAAAAAATTTAAAAAATATTGGTATAAGTTGCCTTTGTTATATGGTTTAGGTACAATTTTTGATCATAGATTAAAATTAGACGGATTAGAAAGTGGTTTAGAAA